AACCAGGAAAAGATGTTTATTTCTAAAAAGAAAAAAATGTCCGTCTTACATCTTTGACAATCTTACTCACTTATTAAATTTTAACATTTTAACTTGCGCTTTAGGATTATAGGCCAACAGAAAGTAACACATACTCTAAATGTGAAATAGAAAAATAGATGTTTTACTACATTTCTTCATGATATAATCATAAATCTGAAAAGTGTGGCATGCACTTGTAATCTAACCTGGCATAAACCAGGTTGATGTGCATAGTTCAATTTGAATTCTACACATTATCCATCTGGAAAGCCTCCAGTGGAGCAGCAGGCTCACAAATACATTCTTGATTTGTTTCATAGTTAACTGATAAATCAAACTCCTCTCAAGTCTGGTCAGAAGGAACATGCAAACATCTCTCCCATCCATGAAGGAACAAATTGTGCCTTTTTGCTCATCTTTCAAACAAAGAAAGAGTTTTCCACCTAAAACAGACTGAATAGCTTAGTCTACAAGTATACTACGGTGCCGGTGCAGCCATGTTTGCTTTGCTTTAGCCTGGCGATTCTGGTTGACATTATACACGACACACAGGATTTACTGATTCATAAACTTTTCTAATGTATCCATTGGCTTCTGGCAAGATGCATTTTTGGGAGTTTGTGAATTCACACATCCCACAACAGTTCATCTTGCTTGCAAAGTAAGGATTCAGCCTATGTAAATATGTTTTTTTGGGGTTTTTTTGCTCAATGGAGCATCCATCAACTCCACATATATATTTCCATGCTGTATTGCTTAAATATATTTTTGTAAATCAGCGTGTAAGTTTTAAGTTTAACCTTGTGCAAATTCCTCCAGAGGTTTGCTGCAGTCCCACTGCATGTCAGTAAAAACAAACTGAAGCATTCAATAATGTCTGATAATCCATAAGGGGAGAGTTTTGCTGCTCCTGAAAAGTGCAGATCGATAAGATTTCTTAATCTAAAGTAGAAGATCATCAGCCATATCGGCAACGCGTGAATATCTTCATTCTTTTCGGCTCTTATGATGGATAATGTTTCAGCGTTAATAAATAAAATAAAATATTGTAACTTGAGTTTTTTGTAGCTATTTTCCTGAAGACTGTAGTTTTAATTTGACTATCATAATCCCTATGGGTGTCCATAAGGCTGGAGGCTGTCAGGATTCAGCAGAGTGGAATGGAGTTTCTTCCTATCTAGGATAGTGTTCTTACTTTTGATCCTGCAAAATGTGAAATGAAAGGAACCAGAAATAGGAGGATGATCACCATCTGGGTCCAGGAATTTTAAAATATTCTGTGAATACAGATATTAATTTAAGGTGGAAACCACAGTATGTTGGGAAAAATGAGCCACTTGGTGTAGGTCTGCACTTTCCAAGTGTTTTTCTAGTATTTGTTCTGTGTCCTTACAATTAAAGTGGTACTCAGAAAGATCCTCCCAAAGTACATGGTTTGGGTTTTTGAGAAAGGCATCCCACAAAGATCTCCAAGTGCTGTATATTGCCCTGAAAAATCATTTAATAAATCTGAAATTTAGACACTTTGGTCAAAGGTTATAGAGATATTTTGGACTAAAGTTTTACTTAATCCAAAAAATCTCTTTTACTTTAAATCCCAAAACAGATTATATTTCAAAATCATCAACCCAAAAAAGCAGCTTTATTTGGTTATTAACTTTCCAGGAAAAGCATATTAATCTAGGATGCAATCTAGATGAATCACTCAAATTAATCAAAAACATGCAATAATAATATTATTCATATTTAAACTAATTTATCAGATTACACTTTTGTATTACCTGAATTATTAGGCCCTATATGCTGATGTCAAAGATTCAAACTGATACAAAAATAATAGGCTTTTAGTGATAAAGGAATAGTGGAACAAACTATATGCACATTTTAATTTGTCAATTATCTTTACTTACATTTAATGTGTTAAAATTTACCTTTGAGAAAACAGCTCTTCAAAAGCCCTTCTGGAAAACCTCCACTGTGGAAATGCAATTACTTTACATCTCAGTAAAAAAAAAAAAAAATTGCCCCAATTAAACATCTTAAGTTACTTTAACACCAATAGATCCAACAGATACCTGAATTTTATGTTCTGAAATTAAGAAACCATTTTCTGCTTAGATATATGGCAATTAAATATATGAATTTAACTGTATAATTACATTATTGACAGTTTTATTCAAATACATTTTTGTCTTTATAGAGTTAGACAACCTACAGATGCAAAATAGTTTTGAGCCAGACCCATGTGCATATGCCTGCTCCTGTTCTTACCTGACGAACTGTAGTTACTGAATTAAAAAAATAAAAATTCACATTTACTGATGTGTACTGCAACAGTTATTCTCACTGTCCCCCTTCCTTTCAACCTAAATAAAACATCACGTGGCAGCTAAACTAAGTGAACTTGATAAATGCTTACTATATTCACTAAAAGAAAACCCATCACTCACTTAAACCATATAGGTTTGACCTAAATGACAAAACTGACAGTCAAATAAAAACCAAGTTCATACTGGCACTGAATGATTTCACCAATAAATTTAGCCCAAAACGTTTCTGCTAATTTTGCGATTTATATCTTATTGCAATTTACTTTTCCACTAAAAACAAGTGTGTAGCTGTTTTACTTTAGGGTTTTAGCTTTTTGATGAATTTGCTTGGTTGCTTGTGAACAATGAAGATATTTAAGGAATAAGAGCACTTCCATTTAATTGTTTCAGCATTCTCCTGTATTTTTGAGTCATAGGCAGGCTTGAACGCGCTTCTAAGAGTGTGGGGCAGTGATTGGGCTGCAACTACCGGCACACCTCATTTCCATTTACCGAATGGAAATTAGAAAATTGCTGCCATGTATTTTAAATACTTTTGCAGTAATCTACTTTTCTCAGAAATCACATCTGACTTCTGTGCGTCAACATTTAAATTCATGACAAGTTACCTCAGCAGTGGTCCCAAGACTCATCTACTAACAGACTGACCAACTCTTACCTTTGCCTCACCTTTACTTCCTGGATGTGAGGGGTTTCACATGCTTTAAAAATATTATTCAACCAGTCATACTTACCACTTAATCCACTGGAGAAAAAAAATCTAGAAATAAGTAAAAATGTCTTAAATTAAGTGTATTTATCCTTATTTTGAGTAGGTAAATGAGATAGTTTGCCAATGGAATTAGCATTTTTTACTCTTAAAATAAAATAGTTAGATTATATGCACTTGAAATAAGACAATGCAGTTGTGTTTTCTTTTTTTAAGTGAAAATTGTCTTGTTTCATTGGCAAAATGTCTCTTTTACCTCCTGAATCCAAGAAAAAATGCACTTATTTTAAGAAAAATGACTTACCTGGAGAAGAACTATGTACACTAGTAATTAATGAACATTTGTTACATACTTACTTTGAAATTAACTGGAAGATTCATCAGAGCTGTTTTTATCTTGTCTGCCTTTGGAATCAACTCGCTTTGTTTTACATCTCCTTCTGTGCCGTGACAATGCTTTGCAAAAAAAAGTGCAGTTGCACATGAAGACAAAACTCTTTCTTCTGAGGATTATACATTTTTCTTTGCTTTCTGAGGTCAAAACTAAAGTATGTGCTTTGCTTGCTGTGTTTCGGTTTTGGCTCCAAAGTTGGACATTATGGTGAGGAATGTTGGAGTGAGAAGGCAGAGAAGATAATAAAAAAATACAGTAAAGGCTTTTGGTCTGTTTTCTGAGACTTTCTGTGACAAAAAATCACAGAATTTAGAAAAAATAACAAAAGAAACTCGAGATTTGCATAATTAGTTTCGACCAGAATTATTAAAACGCATGTCCAAGGGGTTTTATTGAAACTTTCTGAGCCTGACACAACAAATGCAGATCATTTCAAACTATTGAAATATCTTTTCTTGTAAAGGAAATGTAATATTTTAATTGAATTCAAAATTCATTTTGGCAAGGATTTATCATCTCCTATGATAACATTCATTAAAATGCATCTTTCTAACTTGAAGAAATAAGAACGAATGTCAGAGGCAAGGGTTTCAATATTTTGAATGCATTTATCTCAGAAGTAAAGATTTAGAAATAGAGAAAAACAACATCTACAAATGATTTTCTGTTTAACTAGTGCAGGCAGACAATCTGGGCAATGCTGCTACTTTATATGTGCTCTTACACACACAGTACACAAAAGTGCCATACTTTAAGGTCCTAACTTTATATGGTGGCTTAATCTTAATACAGAGACGTTAAAAACCCCTGCCTACTTTTAGATTTCTTCATATTTAATTTTGTCACACTTGGCATTTAGTCAATTTAATTAAATTCAGTTTATTTATATAGCGCCATTTCACAACACATGTCATCTCAAGGCACTTTACAGTTCACCAGATCATACAGTCAAACTGATTAAAAGTTTTCTCTCTGAGGAAAACCAGTTGATTGCATCGACTCATCGACTCGAATGCAATCCCTCATACATTTATATAAATATATATTCTGTAAAGGACTACAAATAGATTGTAAAAGCTTTTAAATTGGAATAAATCACAGTGAGAGCAACAGTAGGTTAGAATTATTTCATCACATTAAGCCAGTGTGGAAGAGAAACTTAAGAGAATACTAAACAAAGGAGAAAGCTTTGCTGTGTAATGTTGTAAGATCTCATTACACTTCAACTGATCAATCCATATTTAAGGGTAGAAACAAAGGCTCAGTTAAGGTAAACTTGTTAACTTTATTACAAAAACATAAAATGAAAAAAACAAACATTGTGTGAGTATTTGTTTGTGATACAAAAAGCCAGCAGGTTTCTCATTATTTACTACCTACAAGTAATGCAGTTTATAAAAGCATGAAACAAAAAAAACAAATTTTGCAATTATGAAGTGTTAAACAGCTAATATTTTAATTTTAATGACATAAATATCAAATATTTCTATTACTTGTTTTAAACAACTGTGCAATTACTTTCAGCACTGCATTATGATGACCAGACTGTAATATTTTTATGATCTATACCTGGAAAAAAAAAAAAAAAACTTTTAGAGCAACCAGAAAACAGGATGGTTTACTGCATGTAAAGCAATGCTTTGAATATGTATTATCACCCTCATTGGTTTAGGCACATTTCTAAGTGATTGCTTTAGTGTTGAAGTAAAAAACATAGAACAAAAAACCTATTTACAAACACAATATAAAAGCAGCTGGAAACAACAGTGAGCTCCAGCTGGACCAGGAAGCCAGAATTTCCAGGCTTCCAGCACAATAAAAAACAACTGGAATCTTACCTAAAGTTAAACTTTTAAGTCAAATACTTATGGCTGCTCGACCAACACAGACACCAAATACAAAATGGCTGCTACATTCATTACAGATAATAAAAGCTGCAGTAATAAATGAATAATTTGCACCTAATCGCCTGTATCTCTTGAACCAATGGGATATACCGGTACATGAATTTTAAAATGTGTTCCGTCAGTGCTTGAGTAACAAAAATACAGAGAAATAAGTTTTTTATCAATAGCATTTAGTTTGATCACTGAGGACAACTTGCAGTTCTCTTTGCTTTTCTGACTTCGAACTTGATGTGATCTCCTGGATCTGACTTTGATACACACGTAACGCAGCAGAAACGCTGCTTCTTCTGGATGGATGAGCTTCAATCGGTTTTTGATCCCTGAAGAAAAATCAAACAAAAAAAGTACAAAAAGAAAATAAAAAGAATATTAAAATAACATTGAAAACTCGATAGCTGTTCATACCCCTCTCACATTGGTCCATATCGTTATATCGGATATGAACAATTTGCTGCTTTAAGTAAATAATCACCCTAATGCACAAAGATGCACAAAAGATTTGTCCCAAAAGATCTGTGTGTTTGAAGTGCCAAAAAAGTGGACCATCACACAAAGAGAGCGCATTGATCCTGTGCTCTTTATCTGACTAATAGAGCTTCACTCACCTCTGCATGCTTAATGCGTAAATCTATCCCAGCTGACTGCCATTTAAACTTTTATTTCAATACTTAAAAAGCAACAACTGAACACTTGAGTCAGTTAAGATGATAATAAATCGTGATACTCTTCATCCCAAAATGTCTGGTTAGCACACCGGGGTCTGACAACAGTGTCTAAACGTCACTTGGGGCGCTTGGTGACAGAAAAGTGAAATGATGTGCTCAAAAATGACCCTGCACATTGTCAGTATGTTTGGCTCAACCTGCTGCTGTGAAGCAGGATTCTCTACCATGAATATAATAAAAATAAATATGGATCCAGGCTCAGAATGAGCACCTGGATATGGGCTTTAAAATGGCTTTGTCTCCTTTCAAACCCAGGTTTATAGCCTTGCAGGTCAACGTAAAGCCCAATTTTCTCATTAGGCCATAAAGAAGAAAGAAAAAAAAGTGTTTTATCAAAAGACTGAGTCAGGAATTTGTCTGTTTACCAAACTAAAAGATTATTGCTCTCTACTTCAAGAACAATTTACATTTTAAAATGGAAAACATACTATTTTTTAAAAATGTTTCATTTAAAAATTCAATGTATAACATGGATGCATTAACACTTGCATTTTATTTCAGTGTTAAATTCTGTTTAAAGCAATGCATTATAATTAAAAAAGTCTCTGGACCTTTACTAGGTGTTGATTTTCTTTATTCGGACCCCGCTGATTTTTAAACGGTTAGTCCTGGTTTATAAGAAAGGAGGGGCATTGAAAACAAATGACAAAATTGACTGAATTCCACATATTTGAAGCTTTGTAACACATCTGATACTCCAACACAGATAGTAAGATGGAACAGAGTGTAACAGCAGCTTTAGGTATTATATATCTTTAATGTATAGATACTCACTTTGTACTGTACCATATCTCACAGGTCAGACCTCTGTGGACTTCACAGCATTTGTGCTTTGAACCTGAAAGATTCATAATTGATGAAGATCATTAAAAACTTTAAATAGAAGAGTTTTATTGTCATTTGAAGGGGTGATATTTCAGACAAAACTAAAAAAATAATTCTCCATTCCTGTTACTTGTAAACTAGCTTCACCTCCTTGTTCTGATGTTGCTGTCTGAGTTTCACCTTGGTTGCTTCTGCCGGTGAGTTTTTGACGGCGGATCCTTGAGAAGCCCCGACCTCTTTCATAGTAATGATGGAGGCACAGACAGAAGAGTTTTCCTCTGCTTCTCCTGCAGCAGAGCGGCAGCTGTGACTGCAACTGCTGAAACCACTCACGCTCTCCCCAGACGACTCAGAGCTGTCCACTGGAGAAGGGAGGAAAAGATTTAAAGCTGGACAAACATGTGGGAGTTATCAACTGTTTTAATAAACTTTGGTGTTAGACGAATCCTTTAACATGACAGAAAGAACTTTACAACAGGAAGACTTGGAACCACCCAGATCTCTAGTGTTACAGAGGAAGTGTCCAGGCTTAAACTCTGACACTCAGAGTCAGGTGAAGCTTTTTAGATTTCTTCTTTTTAAACTTTACCTCGCTTTACCTAATTATTTACTCACATAATAAGTTCTGATTTCCACAATCAGGATCTGTATCGTCCTCTTCCAGAGCTCCAGATGCAGATATGTATCCCACAGGTCCTCCTGAGACCGCCCTTCGCTTTGGGCCCCCAGCAAATCCAACAGAGGACATGGAACCCCGTCCAGAGGAAGAGGAGGAAGAAGAAGTGCTGCCTGAACCAACAGATTTTGGACGTCCCTCCAAAAGCCCGCCCTGTGAACCGCACGACCCTATAGTGGACGGTACTTTGGTATCTACATGGGGAAAATTAATACACTTCTGTTAGATGAATCATAATGAATCATGACCAAACATAAAAAAAAAATGTAAAAAATGATTAAAGAATCATCATCTAAGCCACATATTTACCTCTCCCTACTAAGACGTAGTTGATGGCCCTGTCACTGATAGCTGCTTCACTGGGCTGGATGTCCATAAAAGGCTTGTTTCCAATACCCAGGAACACTCTCTCCTGCATACGGACCTCTGAAAAGATAGGCCAAAAGTCAGGTGACAAAGACTAAAAAGTAACAACATATAAGCTGTAATAATCTCATAAAAACTGCTAGTG